GTTCCTGACTCCACCCAGTTCCTAACTCCGCCCCATTCCTAACTCCACCCAAGCCATTACCTCACCCATTCCCAGACTGCACCTCTGACTCTGCCCAGCACATTGCCTCACCGAGTCCTGACTGTACCCTGACTCCTCCCAGTTCCTGGCTCCACCCAGTCCATGACCTCATCCAATCCCTGACAGCTACCAGTCCTTGACCCCACCCCGTTCCCTAACTCCTCCCACTCCTAACTGGCACTGACTTAATGAGCCTCACTAGTCCCTCAAACCTGGGCATTTCTAGCGTCCTTGCTTTCCCCCATGTGGTCTCCTCGGCAGCGAGTCCTCGTTCCCCTGTGTCACTTTGTTCATGATGTCTTCTATTTGTTATGGAAACCCTATTCAGACCCTTCTCAGGCAGCCCTTCCCTTATCCTAGAATTAATGGTTTCCTCCTTTGGGTTACTTTGTATCCTTTTAAAACTCTCACCATTGCTCTGACCAATCTGTAGTGTATTTTTTGCTCTATTTGTTTATACAAATCTCAGCCACTTGAAGGCAGTGACCAAGTCTTACTTATGTCCTATCCCTTTGTGCTCAGCCGTCATTCACAATAATCTACAAGTAGTTTGACTTGATTCAGGTTTTGTCCAAAGTATAAATTAGTATCTTCTAAATTAGTTCCACAAACTACAGCTGGAGGGACAAATCCAACCCACCATCTGTTCTTATAAATAAAGTTTTATTGAAAGGAATCCATGCCCGTTCATTGACATATAACCTGTGACTGCTTTGGGCATGGTTGTCACAGGGACCATATGACACCCTAAGCCTAAAATGTTGGCGGTCTAACCTCTTACAGTTCATGCCTTCCGTTTCCATTCTAAARGACAGCAGCTCTGATTGGATTCAGGGGGCTTGCAAGTAAGGGTGGCTTTGGGTACATGGTGGGAACCTCAAGGTGGGAAGAAGGCTGAGAAGCCACTGAGTGTGCACAGACCCTTCCCGGGAGTCCAGGGACTTGGCTTGCTGCCTGTTCTCTGTCTTCCCCTGCTGTGTGACCTTGGGTGGGGACTCTGGGTAAGTGCCTGGCCCAGGGACACATCCTTCCTCCCTGCAGGGATAACCGAGATGCTCAGCACGCCCTGGAGAGAGACATAGAGGATAAAAACTCTGCCGAGTGTATCGACGAGCAGTGCTTTAACCTGAGGAACACGTCGGACTGCATCTCCTTCTTCCACGGCGTGGARAAGTGTGACGGCACGTAAGTACTGGACTCTCTGCCGCCATTCTGGGCCGTCTGTGGGACCAAGGGCCTGGGCTTCTGCCATGGCACCATAGAGGGGTATCGTGTGCCAGCCAAGGAGGGACAGTAAGATTGAATGGGAACCCTCTGTTGCAAGCAGCAGAATCAACTTAGGATGAAATARAGTTAACTGGAACCTGCAGCAGGGCCACAGAGACAAGGGGAGGTTTCTGGCCGTTTGACAGAAGTGGGGGAGCTATTCGGTTGGATGGTCAGAGGGCGGCCATCTTTCCACCCCTGGCCCACCTTGTCCAAGATCCAAATTTCAGAAAGAAAGAACATGTGGTTGACTTAGTGAGGGTCACACAGCCTCTGATGCTCTGCCAGGGCACCCTGGGGTGCCTCTCCTGGCCATCCCACCAGACAAATTCCAAAACAAAAGGGCTGTCACCAGCAGGAGCAGGCATCCCCGCTTGGTGGGGAGGGTCAATGACGCCTGGAGGGTGGATTCTAGGACAAGGCTGCCGGCTTTAAGTCCCAGCTTCCAGGCTGACACTTTGGACGAGCCACTCAGTGTCTTTGGACTCCATTTCTGCCCCTCTATCACCCAGGGTACCCGCTCCCCAGGGCTGCTGTGTGTTCTGAAAGGGGGGCATGGGACCTCGTACGCACAGAGACTGGGGTGGATAATAATGGCGACCGTTATCAGAGCTTGCTTTGTATCCTCATTTTCTTGTCCTGGCAGCCATGAGGTGGTGCCTTTCGTATGCCTGGCACTATCGGGGGCAGGTCACCGCCTGGTGGAGGGTCCTGTAGAATTTCCCCGCTCTGTCTGAGCGCCGGGGCCATGAGGGCTGGCAGAGATGCTCTGGCGGAGGGCGGGCGCTCTCTTGGTCTCGCCYGCACTCCTTCTCTTCACCTCTAGCGCACAGGCTTGCTCTTGGCACATGCAGGGTGCAGGTACGTGGTAAGCATGTGTTGAATGCAAGGAGGAAGGGGGAGGGGAGAGCAGGAAAGGGGAGAAGAATTGTAAACCATCTCTGGCCCAGGTCTGGGCTGGCTTTCTGGATCTTTGCAAACATGGCGGTGTGGAGGTGACTCTGGATTCATAGCAGCTGCAGCTCCCGCGGAAGCCGCCTCCTCTTCCCGACAAGGGGGGGTCCCCCAGGCACTGGAAGGCTGAGCAGGACTTGGGGGCTCGGCCACCCTTGGCCACAGCTGCCCGTCTGCACAGGGAGTCCAAAGGGTCCCTCTTTGCAAACTGATGCCTCCCCCCAAACCTGGCGGCAGCTGGCTGGAGGGGCGTCTGGCCTCCAAGCCCAGGAGGGGCCGCTGTTGAAATCCCTCATCCAGCTGGAAAGCGGGGGCTGCTGTTTGGATGACTAATTGCTTCCCAGATGTGCTGGCTCGGGGCTTTGCATTGGAGTTTTCTTAAGCAGGGCCACATCTGGGCAGACTGAGGAGGTGTGGTGACTGTCTGGATCACAGTGTCCCTGTTCATTGCCGTGGGTTAACTCATGAATATGGTGGTGATGGCCTCTTTCTGATGTCAGCCATGTGTAGATGGTGCACAGAGTTTACTTGCAGCTCTTGTGAGTCATGAAGAGTCACTTATTTTGTGTACGGTGCCCTGATAAGTTTTTCACATTTAGTCACTCAACAACCCTGGGGGGATAGGTACCGTTATTATCCCCATTTCACAATGGGTAAACAAAGGCTCAGAGAGGTGAAGTGACTGTCATAAGCTTGCACAGCTAGTGGCAGAGCTGTTGACCTCAGCCCACACTGCACATCGCGTGGGTGTTTGATCAATGGATCTTCCTGCCTCTGCAGCAAGGTTGCTGTCCCTCCAGTCTCCAGAGGGCACGGGCTCTGGGAGAGTGCATCCTCCCCACCAAGGCTCAYGGCTTGCCAAGGATGCAGGCTGCCTTTGGTGGATGCCCCTGGGGAGATTGTGATTCAGCGGCTATTTTCTCTGGGGAGCTCAGCCGTCTGCTCCAGGGGAGGGCAGGGCTTAGAGGTTGCTGTTGGTGTCACTGACAGTCCCACTCAGCAGTGGTGGGGCCACTCAGAGTGTACTTGCAGGTCTCATCTGCTGTCCACAGCCTCCTCTCCTTGGGTGGTGTCTTGGGGATGGTGATTACAGATGACCTTGGAGAAGACACTCCTCTCTGAGCCTCTGCTTGTGGCTGGGCTCTGGGCCAGGCAGAGGAACCCCATGTGGTGGCACTCACCTGTGACCCCAGAGACCTGGGAGGGAGAGGCTGGAGGRTTGCAAGTTCAAGGCCAGCCTCAGCMACTTAAGTGAGGCCTTGTCTCAGAATTAGAAATAGAATGGGCTGGAGATGTAGCTCAGAGGTGAGAGCGTGCCAGTGCAGGGCCCTGGTTCAATCCCTGTGACCACACCCCCACCACCCCGGAAAAAAGAAAGGAAAGGAGAGCCGCAGAGCCATCGCACACACGTGGGACTTCTAGGAACTCTGTTCCCCACACCTCAGCGTGCCCATTTCAGAGAAGTAGACTCCTTTTCTCCTGCTCCCTGAGAATAAAAGTCTGCTTCCTGCAAGAACTGGCGTCCTCCCAGGCCAGACAGGACTTGAGAACATTATCTGGTCTGGTGTAGCCACCGTGAAGCCAGCTCAAAAAGTGCATGTCCCCCCTGGGGGCCCCCCAGAGCAGGGAACCCCAAATGGTCCTGGGGTTGCTTGTTGCAGAAGAACTTTGACTAAACCACGTGCGTCCTCGGGCGGGCRGCACCACCTCCGTGAAGCCTGCCCTCTCTGTGACGGTCCCCACTCGCTCCCTAGATCCGTTCCCCAGCTGCCCTGCTGGGCTGCCCTCTGCGGTCACCTTTCCTGGGCTCTCGGCCCTTCACTTTCTGCTGGGCTCATCCAGGAGGAGGGGCACCTCTGGAGTGGAAGACACCCCCCCCCAGAGGAGAGGGGCTGTGATCCTCCCTCGTCCCCAGGGACTGTGCACCTCCAGGGCCGCTCCTCTCCCTGGTTCTTGGACACCTACTGCTCCCCTCTCGCCCCTCACAGCTGGGGTGCATTTGGGAATCCATGGCACCTCAACTTCTGGCTGAGTATGGTGGTGGCCCCCGTCCTCAGGGGTACATTCTGAGACCCCCGGTGGATGCCTGAAGCCGTGGATAGCACCGGGCCCCGTGTGGATTAGTCTCTTCCTAGACACCCATCCCTGGGACGAGTTAGTGTATAAATCAGGCCCGGAAGCTATTGACCACAGTAGCCAATAGCATCATAGGACAATCGTAWCGTGTGACCAAAGGCATTTGAAAGTTCCAGATCATTCGTTTCTGGAGTGTTCCATGGGATACTCTGAGACCTCGGTTGTCAGGTAGCTACCCCAGCAGAGAGCAATCGGTGGCTAGGGGTGGGAGGCTGCTGTGCCCTGCACCCTTCACCACCGACACGCGAGGACACGCCATGGCTTCCCCTTCCTGCTCCTGGTCCCRGCCTCCCCGCGACTCTGTGGAAGGACCTCCCCTGTGTGTCATGCTGTCCTCTGAGGACGCGGACGCCGCTCTTCTTGCTCAGCTCTTCTTGCTCACGGCTCCATCTCTAGTGCCTCGGCAGTGTTGGGACATGGCGGGCGTTCCAGACCCTCAGCGGGGCGGGGCGGGAGGGTGGCGGAGACGCCTTAGCACGCTGGAGGCCCGAGGTGTGACCCCAGGACTCCAGAACCAGGCCACCCCCCCCATCAAAACACCCATGGGGGGGGGAAGCCATGGAGAGTAGCACGGTCGCAGCCGGAGGGACAGAGTCACCTTCTGGGCCTGGCTCTGTTTGGGATGGTACTGAGGGGACAAGGAGGCCTCTGTAAGGGGCCTCTCTCCTCCTACCAGTGGGCTGAGCGCCCTCCTGCCGGCTGCCGTTGCAGCCTTTGTTAAAGGAGGGATTGGATCAGGACACTGGTCCTCAAGGGGGCGATCGTGTCCCCTCCCCTAGGGGACGTCTGTGGTTCTCATAACTGGTGTGTGGAGGGGCTGCTGGYGTCCCGTTGGTGGGGCCAGGGGTGCTGCCGGACCTTCTACAACAGACTCTTGACCTCAAGGACAAGGTTGAGAACCCWGGGTCCAGGGTCACCCTGTCACCCCTGTGCCAAACTTGCCCTGTGCCTTTTGCAGGATCTCCGTGCCTGACACCTGGGCCAAGTTCAGCAACGACAACATCAGGCACTCTCAGAACATGCGGGCCAACTCCATCCGGCTGCGGGAGGAGGCGGAGCACCTCCTGGAGAGCCTGTCSGACCAGCTGTGGAAGCAGTTCACGGACACCAACCTGGCCTTCAGCGCCCGCATCGCCGAGGAGACAGAGGCCAAGAACAAGCTGCAGACACAGCTGGCCAAGGTGGGCTGGTTCGTCCGGAGCTTGGTCCCCTGCTGGGCCTCTGCCGTCCTCCACTGGGTCTGGGCTGCCCTGGGAGCTGAGCCCACCCTAGTTTGAAATGGTCCCCCACGGCCTGTAGTCTCGTCCACCCCAAACGGGGGCAGGGGCTGTGAGCTTCCTGGGGAGCGTGAGCACCCCTTGGTCACGGGTCACGGAGCTGGGCCTGGCTGTCACCACGCCCCCAGAGGCTGCTGATGGCTCCCAGTGCCCTTCCCCCTCCACGGGAGGACCACGGGACTCAGCGTGACCASGGGCCTGGAACTCGTCATCCTGGCTGGTCCCAGCCCGTCTCTGCCCACCTCAGCATCTTGGAAATGTCGGCTTTGCCTTTAAGCGTCCGCGACAGCGTGACGATCCTGGCTGGGGACTGCCAAGTTCTGCCCTCCCCCTCCTTCTGTCCCCCTGTCAACACGCACCCCCGCCACTCTCTTATGGGTCTGTGTCATGCCCTTTGCACCTCTGGGGTCACCCAGGGAGTCTCACGGCAGGGCCTTCAGCCACCCTACTCAGCCTCAGGGCAGAGAGCCTCCGGCTGACAGAGGCCACCGTGGACAGTGGCCATGAAGGAGGACCTCGCCAGCCTGGTCCCTGTCCGCGGGCGACCTCCGTCCTGGTTGGAGAGCGGTGGTGGCTGTGAAATTTACACAGGAGGGACTTGGGGACAGCAGTGTGTCTGGAGGGGTGGGAGCCCAGGGGCTGGCCTCGTSCTTTTGATTGATTGTTGGGGGAGGTTCTGTGGGCGCCGGCGGGTTCCATGGAAATGCTGGGGCAGTGTTCGCCCACCCACATCTGCCACCGCTGGGCCGGGTGCAGGAGGCAGGCAAAACAGAAGCTGCTGATTAAGGTGCGAGCCGTGTGAGGAGGAAGCAGCGAGGGGTGAGTCAGAGAGGCTGGGGGCTGTGCAAGGAGGGGCGCAGAAGGGCAAGTGATGTTCACCTGGAGAACAGATCCAGAGCCCGGGGTGGGGGGCAGAGAGCTCTGGAGGGAGAGACCCAGGGCCAGGCGTCGGGGACGAAGCCGGGGCAGGGGCTGGTAGGTCCTGCTGGAGGGTGGGGAGTTCATCTGGAGAGACTGGCCACCGTGGTGACCCTTTTCAGCTCCGCAGGCCACCTGGTGGCCGTCACGACCCCTCAGTTCTGCTGACGAACCGAAAAGTAGCCACATACCATATGTACACAGACAAGTGTGTCCGCGTTCTGATAAAACACAGCCAGGCCACGGTTGTAACGTAGTCAAGCCCTGCTCCAGACCTTAGTGTCAAGTCACTTCCTTTTTGGGAATCCACCACATCCCCTCAGATTTTGTACTCACCGTCTCTGTGTCCTGGGACCCTGTCGATCATCGCTTCACCCTGTTCCACRTGGTTAGAAGTGAGCCCTCTGAGCCCGGCCGCTTGGGTGTCAGTCCTCTGCAACCTTGGACGACTTCCCGAGCCTTTCTGTGCCTCAGTCCCTTACCTGTACCATGGGGATAAGGTTGATGCCAACCTTGGGGGGTTTGAGTTCAAGCAGGTAACTGYTTGCCCTACACCTGGTGCACCTGGGGCTGGGCATGGTCATGAGCTCAGGTGATCTCATTCAGGCGTCCTGCTTCAGCCTTGTCCCTCCCTGCTAGTGTCTGCCTGGGTCTCCTGAGGTCTTTGTGCAATGAATGAAGAGGGACCGCGACATTAGGTTGTGTGTGTGTGTGTGTGTGTGTACTTGAATAGTGCTTGCATGACGGCATGCTTCTAATATCAAGTTTCTTTTGTGCAAAAAGAACCTTTATTTGACAAAATATGTACAGCCTAAAATGTACCCTTCTAACCATTTTTAAGCGTGCCGTTCAGCGGTCAGAGGTACATACCTGTTGTACAGCCGTGGCCACCGTCCGCCTCGGGAAATTTTCCTCTTCTCAAACTGAAATTCCGTACCCATCTCACAGTGATTCCTCTCTTCCCTTTGTCAGTGAATCAGTCGACTCTAGGTCCCTCGCTTAGTGGGATCACGGGTATTTATCTTTCTGCGACTGGCTTATTTCACTTAGCTTCATGGTTTCAAGGTTCATGCACAAGTGCCAGACTTTCTTCCTTTTTAAGGCACAGTGACCTTCCCCTCTCTTTGGAGACCACATTTTGTTTATCCATTCGTCCTTCTGTGGACACCTAGATTCTTCTGTCTTGCGGCTCCCAAGCAAGTGCTTTTCTGCTGAGGCATTCTTCAGGGTGGGACAAACCCTGCTCCCTGTCACGGTTCACCTCCTGGACTTGGCAGTCTGAGGAGGGCTTGGGAAGGGTCCAGAGTAAGGGTCCCTACCTGGTTACAGCCTTCTGTTTCTGGGGAATGGATGAGTGGTTTCTGTGGCCCTCTTAGGACAGCCCTTGGTTCGCGGTGAGTGATCCGTCGGAGGGGACTGTATTACTAGTAGTACTGACGGAGAGGAGAAGAACCTTTGGGTGCGGGAAGCTTTACAGCTAACAACTCCACCACTGCGGATCAGAGAGATTTTGCAACCTCGTAGATTTTTATTAACAGTCATTATTTAGTCACCAGCCAGCACCATATGGAACATCCCAGACTGCAGTATGACACTGGTGACATTTGCCTGAGCAAAGATCTGTCTTCCGGTGGGTGACTAGTTCATGGGGTGGTTTTCTAAGACGATAAAAGAAGAGATTGATGCGATGAAGAAAAATATATAGCAACCATTTCAACTTTCAATAGTCTGCTCAGCTAGAGGATTCGAAATGCTCCTTTGAAGCTTTAACTCTTGGGCGGGGGATATGGCTCCGTTGGTGGAGTGCCTCCCTCCGAGGCACAAGGCCCTGGGCTCAATCCCCAGCACCACCAAAAAAATAAAATAAAATTGACTGTTATTGATTGAGCTCAGCCTGGTTCCCCTTGGCAAGAGGCTCCTATGGAAAATTCCAGCCTCGTGTACGATGCAAAGTAATTATTTTCCCAGGGATCATTGGAATGCACTTTGTTAAGGTCTACACAGCTCCCCATGCAGACAGTGGTCTGGGGCAGTGTAGACAGGCTCATTTGTTCACTGGGATCCTGGAATTCCATCCCTGAGGTCACACCCCAAACTCTGCCACTTGCCCTGGGGTCTCACCCTTGCAGGAGCACAGCAAGGCTCTGGGGCAGCTCCTGGTCATCTGGCTCCCRCTCAAAGAGGGGCTGGAGATGGCTCTGGACTGAAGTGGCTGCTGGCCAGAGGGGGAGCAGGCTGCTGCCTGGGGGGACTGAGTCCTCGGCCAGCCAGGACCATTGGAACCCTGAGATAAGCAAGCCCCGCTTACGTCCAGTTACCGGTTGAGTGTGTTTGGGGGGAACTCGTCATGTGGGGGAAAGTGCCTCTTGCAGGGAGGCTGTTTGGGGGACAATGCTGTAGAAAGTGCCCATAGGTGTGGGGACCGGCTGGGCACAGTGGTGCACACCTGTCACGGTGCATATGCTTGTCACCCCAGTGACTCGGGAGGCTGAGGAAAGAGGATTGCAAATTGGAGGCCAGACTTGGCAGCTTAGGGAGACCCTCAGCAACTTAGCAAAAAATAAAAAATAAAATATACATGAATGGGCTGTAAAGTTCCGTGGTAAAGCACCCTTGGGTTCAATCCCTAGTGCACACACACACACACACACACACACACGCGCGCGGACACCTCGTCCTGGCAGGTAAAATGACATGGAATGCATCACACACGTGGAGACTAATGGCACCGAGTCGTACAGTGACAAAGTCCTCCTCCTCCAGTCCTTTTGAGGCCCTCCAGGTCTAGGATGGCTTCTCACCTCTGGAACATCCCGTCCCCCTTGCACATCGGGCAGCCTTGAGCTGAGAACTTGGGGCGGAGTCAGTATCCAGCCAGGGCTTAAATAACATGTTTTTACTTATGTCTTATTTCATGCATTTTTTAATGATTTTTTTCCACTTATAGCAAATGATGCTTGATTTTTTTCCATGGATAATAGTGATATAAAGTTTCATTTCAAAATACACATGGTTAAGATCTGTTTTTCTTTTCTTTTTAAAATGAATTGGTTTGAGCCACTGTGGCGTGGGGATATGGCAGAGAGGGTGGGAACCGTAGGCAAAGCAGGACTCGGGCCAGAGAGTGAGTGGYCCCTCTGCTTCCACTGTCACTGCGAGTGCGGTGATCCTCAGGTCACCTGGGGACTTTGTTAAAGGCAGTCTGGCTGAGCGGGTCACAGCCGGCCTGAGAATCTGCATTCTGAGCACGTTCCCTGGGGACACCAAAGCTCCCGTAGGCAGCATCAAGAGCGTAGGTGGTGAGAAGTGTTGGCTTTGACAGCATCTGGGTCAGCAGCCGTTCCCTCCCCCTCCCTCCTTCCCTTCCCCTCCCCCTCCCTCCCCCTTTCCCCCTCCCCCTCCCTCCTTCCCTTCCCCTCCCCCTCCCTCCCCCCTTCCCCCTCCCTCCTTCCCTTCCCCTCCCCCTCCCTCCCCCTTTCCCCCCCCCCTTCCCCTTTCCCCCTCTCTCCCTCCTCCCCTCCCCCTCCCTCCCCAGTCCCCCCTCCCCCCTCCCTCCCTCCCTCTCTCCTCCTCTTTCCCAGACTCAGAATCTTGGAGGAACCAAGTCTTCCCCAAAGGCTGGCCTCGGCTGTTTTAATCCTAATCAGATTTTCTTTGATTGCACTTTGTTCCAGGCTCACAAACCAGGCGCAGTCCCTCCTCCCKGGAGGGGTCAGGTCAGGTCATCCCGTCCCGTCATCATCCCAATTTGTGCACTGTCACCCCTGGGTGGACAGCACAAGCCCTTAAGTCAAAACCTCATTTTCCTGTTACACGGGTCACAGCCAGGACCTGAGGAGCTGGGGGCCATGCTGAGCCAGACACACAGGAACCCGTCTTGAGGTCCTAGGATCATACGTCCATTTCCCTGATGCCTCTTGATGGCTGCGCCCGGCACATGCTGTTGGGTTTCCTGTAGTCAGAGGCAGCAGAATGGAGCTGGGAGG